CTTCCCACGGACTGCGTTACTTCATTCGATCCAGCGAAATACTCGCGTATTGCTAGCCCATCGCTGTGAAGTAGCCCATATTTCCAGATGCCAGAGTCACTGAAAAATGTCCTATCTTGCAATATCCAAGTCTAGCTTGGGTGGAGACTTTTTCATTTCCACGTTTTTTTTCTATCTACGCTCTTTTGAATGGCTCCATGCGTTCTTGTCCCAATATCTCGCTCTTGACAAGTTCTAGCATGTTGATGGTTCGTAAAGTTCCTGAACCGCTATTTGGATACTTGCAAAAGCGAATCTATTGTGCGAAGAGAGCTGGAAACCAGCATTTCTCTCCGCTTGAGTTCGTTTAATCTATTTAAAAAAGATAAGTGGACATTGTCAGTGCCATCAGTAATAATAGTAAACAAACAAGCCCAAGACGAAAATCGTTGTTATTACAAGGGGTCACTGAGAATGTCCACTTTTTTGTTGAAAAATGTCAATAAGAACTCAGTCCGAACGAAATGTGTGTTCTCGTCTTCGTACCAAAAAAGGATTTAGAAGCATGTTCGTGAAGTGTTCGATCATTGGCTGAACAATTTGTTGCAGTAGGTCATACATAAAAGTAATGATGTATCCCTGTTTGAAAATGAGTTTCACGTCGATTTTCATTGGACGAAACAGGTGTGTGGTTTCGCTTAGGTACGGTTAAAAATTCCTTTCTCATTCGAGAATCTGCCAGTTCGAGGAAAGATGATGAAGCTCTTCTGTGCGATTGTTGGTGTGGCGGGAAGCGCGTTCTCGGTTGAAGTAGACGGAGGCAAGACGGTGGATGACTTGAAGAAGGAAATTAAGAAGGAGAAGCCCAATAAGATCCAGTGTGATGCTGACGAGCTGCAGCTCTTCCTTGCGAAAAAAGGCGGCGGGTGGCTGCCAGACAACGAAGACCTGGACACGTTGCTTCAGAGCGAAATCGACACTTCATCGTATTTGCACATGCGTGCGTCGTGGAAGCTAAGCAAGCCGAACCTTTTCGGGCCTGGCGTTTCGCTCGGAGAGGACGTAGTTCACGTGCTGGTGGTGGTTCCGGAGGGTGCAGTTGGTTCAGCGAGCGAGGCTTCTACGTTGGCGCGAATGTCAGCAAAATTAGATGACCTACACAATCAAGCTATAGGGAAACGCAAATATGTCCACTCGGAGGTAACCTCGACTCAAGGCAGGCAGCTTCTGAACGACTTAGATATTCGGGTGGAATTTGTGCGCACAGTTCCGTTCGCTGCTGGAGAGGGTTCTTCGGTTGGCCCATTCGAGTGGAAGAGAGTTATTATTGAAAACGGCGAAGAGGTCGTGCTCACTGAGGAGCAGCAGCGCAAACTATATCTTGAGTACGTGGAACGCAACATTGGCGATGTGCTTATGAAGAAGCAGCTTTCCGTGATCGGCGTGGAAAGAGGCACAAACATTCTCACTGTTGAAGTTCCTGGTCGCGAAATTGAGCTTGCTGGACGTACCGATCTCCTCATACTGAGTGATCTTGTAAAGATGAGGCCGTCCGAGGTACGGTACTTGCCTGGAGTGAAGATGCTGATTGAAGTGAAGAGAGACGTTAAACCAAGCAACGACTTTCAGGCTTTGTCGGAGCTGATCGCTTTGGATCTGATCGCTGGCGATCCAGTAATGGCGCTACTTACTGATTTGAAAGGTGAGTGGTTATTCTTCTGGGTGGCCGAGAAGATAAACAACTCGGCCCGTATCTGCAAAGCGGCAATCAACGAGCCAAGTGAGGCTTTCGAAGTGATAAAAGCGCTACTTGCGCAGCCACCGACTGCTGGTACTGCCACCGAGATCACGCTACCGTGTTTCCAACTTCCCGTGAAGAGATTGAAGCTGAGAGAGGCGTTACCAGCTACCGGAGAAGGTGGTGGTGCAATTCGTGAGAGCATCGAACGATACTATGACATCGCCAGCATGTTAGGCCCCGATATTGAAATGGCGCGTTCTGTAGCTAGGCAGGTCACTCGATCTATTCCTACGTTGAGTTATTTCAGCTAATAATTGCTCTAGCAAGTCAAGAAATGAGCTTTTGCTTTTTTTATTTTTATTACAAGAGGCGCCGACAATGTCCACTTTCATTTTTGTTGAAAATGTATAGTTGTGTCAATGAGAACTCAGTCCGAACGAAATGTGTGTTCTCATCTTCGTACCAAAGAATTCACTTTGGACGTGTTCGATCATTGGCTGAACAATTTGTTGCAGTTGGTCATACAAAAAAAGTAATACAACAAATGATTTGGCAGCGACAAAAGAAGTTTTTTGTCGCCCGAATCCTTCCACTTCCTCATTTCCACCATGAAGCACAAGCGCAAGAAAGACAACGACTACTCGGACGATCGGGATATTGTCGAAGAGAGTCAAGACGTCGACGACCCGCCAAGACAGCGCGTTACAAGACCGGATCGAGTTCAACACATCGCCGAAAACAAGAATACCGACTGCGTTGCTGTCAATGGCTGTTATGGTATGACTACGTCAACGCTGCAAGAAACATGCTGGAACTGTTCAAGAGTGGGCTGAAAGGAAAACACGGAGCGAGACGGCTGAGAGCGTTCCAGCGAGGACTATAGCGCAAACAGAAAAAAAGGTAGCTAGAAAGACTCGCAGCGTACGCGTTGCGGGGGTTGCGTAGCCCCGCCGTCTCGAACATCGTCTTCAAGACGTGGTCGCCACGTCACTTGTTCTTGGACTTCGCGATGAAGCACTACGCATACCCCAGTAACGAAAATGATGTGGCGAATTTCGACAGATACAGAAGCAACGCTCAGCGAGTCAGAGGCGTACCTGTCGCCAGGGCACTACCGATGATCCGAGACTCGTTCATGGTGTATTCGACCGCAACCAAAACGTTCACGCCCACGACCCAGTCGTACTGGATCTCTCCGCTTTTGTTCAATCCACACGAAAACAGTACGCCGTTTGCACGCAACACCGGCCCAAACCACACGATTCGGCAGCTGAACAACGGTATCGTTCAACAATACAACATCCTTATCTCCCGGTACTTGAACGACTTATACGACCCTCAAAGCAGGAAGATGTACACGAAGGGGTTCGCCTCGTTCGCCAGCAGCGGGTTGTTGGACGCCATGAACGGTAACGGCTTTCCGGACTTTGCGCTGTTCCAGTACCCGCAATACGAAACGATCCGTAACCATGCCCTTGCAGGGGGTCCGGAAAACAACTACTGGGATAGAGTTCGTACCATGTATGAAAACACGCAGACGCCGCCCGCGGTCGCGCAGGAGGTGTTGCGTCGACACTACGAGCTACCGAGACGGAACGGCGTGCTCAGCGCCACTCTGGCGTACGTGATGAAGACGATGACGTCGCGCGTGCACCCGCAGAGCGGCGTCAAGCTCCACGAGGTAACCAACCTCCAGTCTATCGGCTCCCACGTTCTTGAGAAGTACCGCGCGTGCGCCCCCATGCACCTGCGCATTTTCCGGGCGTTCCTTAAGCGCTGTCGTCTGTACAAGAAGATCATCAGTCGCGTGACAACAGCACCCGGAGCTTTGGACACGATCATCACACAGCGATTCAAGATCGGCCCTGACACTGGCGAGGCCAAGGTTGTCGAAGTCGATACCGATCCGTTCACGGTATTTGCCAATCCAATCATTGATGATGCGATTACAGTGGGTGCTAACCACTCTGAAATCGTGGGCAGCTACTTGGACGAGATTATCAACGGCCTAACTTCTCTAGTCGCGGACATCACCGCGTTGCAGACGGAGCTGCAAGAAACCGACTCGACCAAGGCGGTCTTCTTTGACGTGCGCAAGGATTTCACCAAGACATTCTTGGCGAACGAGAAAGAGCTGCCGTTCGCTGCTCCTTCCGTGCTCGCCATGGGCCTCGGTCCTGAAACGCGCGTGACGAGACCATACTTTCTCGGAGGTTCTTCCCAGGTAAACAACAAGTTCGCGTACGGTATTCGATCCGTTTTGCTCACAGACTTCGATCTGTCCCGCTCAAACAAGGACACAACCCCGTACTTTAATAAGCTTGTAGAGGACTTCAATGCCATCAGCAATAGAAATAACGACCTCGACATCACCAAATACGATGAAACACTGCGTTATGTTGGTCACGCCCTGAACTACGTGTACGACCTCCGGTTCTACAATGGCGAAATTAGTTTCAGCGCTTTTGATGAGCTATATCGTCCAGATGGGGACATAAACGTCCAGCTTTACCAGGAAAGGAATTCTCCCTCGGACTCTTTGGCTTTGGTTGAGAACATCAGCGCGGCAGATAGTCGAAATAAGGTTGCCGAACATATCAAGGCGACGATTGAACTGGGTGCACGCGCCGCGATGCACGCCGCGGCTGTTCCCGACAGAGTTAACAATCCGCGTCGACAGGTGATGGTGATCAACCTGCTCGATATGAACATCATGCCGATCAACGTTCACGCGTTGATACGTGACATTCCGTTGGCAAACATTTACAACTACGCCATGACATTCGACGAATATGTCGATCGGACGTTACCCAATCCACAAGACCCTCCTCAAAATGTTCCCGCTACGCTTGACGGCGCTTTCAAGCAACTCCTCAAGAACCCATACAATGACGCGGCGGCGGATATGAACTTGGCTAATGGGTCTCAAGATTTCAGGTTCCTCGATACGATCATCCACAAGGACTACGGCAAAGCCAACAGAAATGATGATGCTGCTTATCGGCTTTTATGCACACAACGATTCAACACGAAGGTTATCCGTGATCTTACCTTCTTGGTCGCTGCGCAGATCCTGATCAAGCAGAACGTCAAGACTCAGCTCGAATTCATCAACACTGCGTGGGTTGGACGTCTACGGACGTGAGAAAGTTTTCCAGAAGATCCTCACTTGGAATGGGTCCGAGGAGGAACACTGGAAGATGTTGGAAGTGTTTTTGGACGACTACCCTTTCGAATATGCGGATATACCAGGGTACTTTGCCTGACAGAGCAGTCACTTCAGTTTTTTTCCCGCTTATCGTTCATGCAAACTAACACAAGTTTTGGACTCTTTGGTGTAGGTATGTGGACGTGATTGTCAAGGACGTCAAACGTACGAGAGACAAGGATCCCGCTCAGGGCTACAGCTTTAACTTTCGCGCAGCTCATCGAGCATTGTCATTCTCGCAACTGCTGGAATGTGCACGACAAGATCCTGAACTTTTTCGCAGCAACAGCGAGTTTGCCGTTCGCGGAATGCAACTCCTTCGAGCTGCAGCAGAGTTGGACAGTGAGCAGTGTTCTGATCTCAGAAGTGAGGTGCAGAATGTGAAAGAACTGCGGCATCTTGCGACCTATGTGGAATTTCTGCGCGATTTCACTTCATCGTCAGTGGGACGTATTCAGGTGATGGTGTTGTACCGGAAGCTTCAGCTTTTGAACGTGGTCTGCTGTACAAATGCAAATGCAGTGATGGAGTTGCTGAACTCTCTGGTAGACTACGTGAAGATCGCGGGTGGTCGCACTTTGAATTCATTCGGCTACGTTGGATCATGTGGATTCGATGCAGTGTATCAAGCAAACCACGATGAAATCATCCGCACGAGTTTAAAAACACTGTGGTCATCTGGAATCGATGAGAACGCTGTTTTCAGTGCGCTTTCCAACTACTTGGACAATGGCATCTTAAATGTACAACACGCCCTGACCATGATAAAGTGCGGCAAAGGCGTGTTTTCTGCATGGACGGACAAACTGAAGACGAATGGCCAGAATTTACCAAGCGAGGCTAGTGCGCCACAGTTGGTTTTCTGTGACTCCAATCCGACTTACTTCTTACCGGAAGATCCGCTGCGAATTTATGTGCGAACCCGTAATGTCAAGTCTGTGACTGCTCACCTGTACGAGATCAAGACGATGGAGTACTATTCTCGTTTGCGTCGTGAGATCAAGGGTGACATTTGTCTCGACGGACTACTGCCGACTGAGGAGCAGGTGGTCGATTTGAGCCACCTCACACAATGGCAAGAATCGCGGGTGTCGATCGAGTTCTGTGCTACGCAAAACTCTCAGCGAGGTGTGTTTGTGGTAGAAGTGTTTGAAAAGGGGATGACGTGCCGGGCTATCCTACGCAAGGGATATCTTCGCCATGTTGAGCGTATTACAGCCCAAGGTCACGAGTTTACGGTACTGGATGAACATGGAAATCTGCTTCCTGATGCTCGTGCACTTGTGCTGAACGTGAAAGCTGGTGGTAGCAGAGCGCAACACGGCCGCGAGTACTCACCTGATGACAAAGGAAGGATCATTATTCCATTCCGCCATCCAAATGAGGGTAGCTCAACTGACAAGTTTGCGATCGCATTCTGTCACGGATCGTTTGGATACTTTCATGGGTCATTTAGCTATTTGGCCGAAACGTTTGACGTGAGCGTCGACATGCACATTGATACTGAACAGTTACTTCCTGGATTCATCGCTCAACTTGTGACCCGCCCACGCTTGCTTGTTGCCGGCCTTGCAACGGGTGAACCCCTTGACTTGATTGTGGATTTGAAGGTGGTGATTGAGTTCGATCTTGTCAACACCAGCAATGTCGGTTCGAGTTCGCACAAGGAGATACTCTCGTTTGCATCCATGCAACAGATTGTAGACGATCCTCCTTGCTTTGAGATTCCGATGGATGCTCAGAGTTTCAATGTCACTTTTGAAGGACGTGTTTCGAAACCTTATTTGAATGCGAAAATTGGAGATTTACCAAAGGTGAGCGACTCCAAGCGCTTTGTGGTCCAACGAGTGAACGATTTCGATAGCACATACACACCTCATTTTGTTCGCCGGCCGCTGGAATCAGGCGACCCGTATAGTCCTAGCGAGTTTCGTGTACTTGTTCTCTGTCACAACGGAGAACCGGTTCCGAACGCGCCAGCAGTTTTCTTCTTCAACCACGTCCACCATACCGAAGAAATCAAAGTGGCACTTCAAACTGACGCCTCGGGGGAAGTGAACTTGGGTCAACTTCAAGACATCCAGCAACTGAGAGTGGATCTTGGGGCTCGTACTGGATCTACTAGGTCGTGTAGTTGGGAATTACCGAATCTGCGTTCATACCGACCGCAAATTGTGAACTGTTCTGTGGAAGAAACCGTAGAGATTCCTATCCCGTTTGCGTTCTCGACTAAAGTGGAGGCATGGGTCGATGAGAAGCTGGTTTTGGTCTGTGAAGTCGTCGACACAGTGCTGCAAAATGCCGCGCAATTTTCGGAAGTGGTGGTGATTAAGAGCAAGCTGAATTACCCTGTTAGCATAGGTGTTCGAATCGCTCGGGAAGGAAAGTACGTGGTCTACTTGCGCCCACTCAATCTCAAGTATCCTGTGACAGTGTGCCAGAAGAAGAACATGCAAGTTTATCCCCCACATGGACTTATCATTCAGCCAACGCAAGTTCTTCTGGCCACTCCAACACTGCCATTAACGATTTGCTCGCAAGAGTTGAAATCTGAAGACAAACAAAACTTGGTGCTTGAGATTCAGCTGCGAAATTTTTCCAGAGATTCGACGCATGTATTGGTGTTGCTTAAGCAATTTTTGGATTTGCGCTCGAAGAAAATAAGTGAGGTTCTCGTGGCTGATGGCTTGGCACCGGTTTCGAGCTCTGGAGTTCGTCTACCGAAACTGCACTTCCGCTCCTCCCCGCTTGAGAACGATTTTTTGAAAATGCGCAAGATTAGCGACGAGTACGCGTATATTCTACAACGGCGAGCACTGGTTTCCTCCAGCCCAAACTCATCACTTTTTGTTGGATCCCCGTTGCTGCCAAAGCCGTCATTGCTTCAAAATCCTCACGTTATCAGTGAATCAGACATGGAGGTGGTGACTGTAGAAGCCGGTGATAAGGTGACCGGATTCAAAGCTGTGGCATCGCATGAGATCCAGTCGGGAGGAGAGCGAATGAGAATATCCTTGAAAAGCAAAAAGCGATCATCACGGAAGTCATATACAATGCATGAACTTACACCAAGTATTTCTTTTCTTGGCAAGCAATCACAGCTTCTAGTCTCGTCCGTTGTGAGCCCAAATGGTAGTGTTCGCATTGAGCTGAGCGGTCTCCCCTTCTTTTCGAGTGAAATGGGATCATTTGAGGTCTGCACGGTTGCATTCGACAGCGAAAGTGGATGCGTCTGTACTCAGGAGCTGGCAATGACGGCTCCAAGTCGAGACAACAAGTTGATTTTACCGAAGCGCGACATTCGTCTGAGTGCTGAAGAAGCTCTGGCACCATCTGAGCATTTCCAACAAGGCGACAGTCATGAGTGTATTCGTTCTGGTGAGGTAAAGACCCTTCCGCGTTCATTTTCCAGCAAGTACGCATTATACGATAGCCTTGAGAGTGCTATTAACTTGTGGCCGACGCTTACAAGTGGAAGTGAGGTAAGCGAATTGGCGAGCAAACTGAAAGAGTGGCGGAATCTGAGCCTTGATGAGAAGAGCAGCTTCTACTTCGTCAACGCGTCTGATGATTTCCACTTCTATCTTTTCCGGAAAGACCCAGACTTCTTCAGACAATTTGCCAAACCGTTGATCCAGGCGAAGATTAGCAAGTCTTTGGTGGACTATTACGTTCTTGGTGACGAAACAAGCTTGAAGAAGTTTTATCTCAACCCGGCTGCGTTCCATCGACTGAGTTGCGTCGAGAAGCTACTGGTAGCGGAGAGACTGACAGATGTGGAAGCTAGAACTGGTGTTTGCCAAGCTATCATCCGCGAGATTGACTCAACTTATCCTTCAGGATGCAGCGCGCTTTCTCGTCTATTCAACACGGTGTTGTCGCAAGGCCAAGTTGAACCGTCCGCTCCTCCGCCTGCACCGATTGAGCCGGCTCCCGGTATGGGATTCGGTGCTGCGCCACCAGATATCTCTAGATACATAGAGAGGGCAGAAATGATGTCGATGCCGATGGCTGCAGCTGCACCGCGCTACGCCATGATGCAGCCACGTCGTGGATGTGGAGGAACATTTGGAGCTTCTCCGGCTTTTGGTACGGCAGCAATTGACAGTAATCGAGATAGAGACACCACTGACGTCACGGAAGTTACCACGGGGTCTTACCTTATGGATGCGGATGATGACTTTGGCGTACGAAGTCTTGACAGCGAGAGTGACAATGATGACAATGAAGAGGACGACGGCGATGACGACTCTGAAGAGGAAACCAAGCAGAAACGCAAGCGATTGAAGCAAGAAACGCCTTATATTTCTCCAGGCAAGGTTCGCAAGGTACAAGAAAAGCGCTTTTTCACTGGCCAGCATCCTGCTCTATCGGGTCGTAACAAGTTTTGGAAGGAGTACGCTGAGTATCTATTGCGTGGAGAAACTGGTGGACGCTTCGTGTCGTCCTACTTCCCTGAAGCATTGGTCTCTATTACAGAGGGGCTGTTCGCATTGGCGGTGTTGGACCTCGGCAACGAATCCAAGCCTACTCAAGTGCAGCTTTCTTCTTCTGCAGGCACCCACGTAACCCTTCGTTCCGCAAGCGATGCTGTTCTTTATCATCGCAGTATCAGACCTGCTGAGTGCACTCCGACAGCCAACAGTGTCTTGATTTTGAAGCAACGTATTCAAGATGAGAATGGAGACTTCAACACCGAGCTGCTTGTCAACAAGATATACACCACGGTCGTCACTTTGAGTAACATCGGCTCGGAGCACCTCACGAATGTCGATTTACTGCTCCAGATACCTCAAGGTGCTATTCCCATGGGATCAAGTGGGTTCTACACCAAAAACGAGATCGGAAGTGTGGCTCCGAATCACACCAGCGAGTTTAAGTTCTCCTTCTACTTCCCTGAAGTCGGAACTTTTGCTCAGTATCCAGCACGAGCTTCACTTGAGGGTCTGGTCATCGCATGGGCGAAAATGCAAGACGATGCAGCAACCTGTAAGGTAGTTCACAGTGCCTCCCGCGTCAATTTGGCTTCCTGGAGTGACGTAAGTGCCCGAGGTTCGCTGGAAGAAGTCACGCAGTTCATGGAATCAACAAAACCTGGTGTGACGATTGACTACCAAAAGCTGTACTGGCGGTGCCATGACCAAACCTTTTACCGTGGGATTTTGGATTATCTAAGACGCAGAATGGCTTTCGTGTCTGGCATCTGGAAATATGGGCTACTTCACAGCGATGGGCTAGCAATACGCGAGTATTTCGCTGGATCGAATGAAGTAACGCAGTCCGTGGGAAG